TGTGGGTCCCACAAAACCTACCTGCCTATCCATCATGGATTCCATGATCCCAAGATCGACTGATTTTTCGCTCACGTTTCATTGGGTACTGTTCTGTATGTATTCACGAAAAGATCCGACAAACATAGAACTCTACAGTAGTCTCCAGTTTTACAATCACGACTGTTTCAGCCAATCTGAAATTCGATGGTGTTAGAGTTGGACGCTAAAATGCAAAGAAAATAGTAATAATACGAATATAGGAAGATGGTATTAATAAAAAAACATTTGCTGCTACGCCAACAGGAATTCATCGAGTTTACTATACCCAGGATATTTTCTTCTCGTTACCAGGACGGATGTCATATCAATCTTTAGGATTTGCTCCGCTACGCGTCGCAAATGTAGTCGCTACGCTCCAGCAATAAAAAGATTCTCTCACCTGGAGAGCGCAGTGCTCGGGGCGCTGCGGTACTCGGCGCTGGGCTGCCTCCGCAAACACCGCCTGGTCCTGCTGCTTGGCGCGCTCGCACCGGCTCACCTCTTTTGTCTTCTCCGCTTTGATTTGCGCTCTATTTCACCCCCTCCATCTCACTTGGGCGCAACAGCCACATCCTAATAAAAATGCATGACACTGCGTGGGACACAGCTGGAGCTCGCTGCCGTAAATGAACGACAACATGTCAACACCACATTGCTTATCCTCACGTCAGCTCACTCTACGGATCAATTTCAAAATTTACATGTACCTTCCAGTTACGAACACAACGATTCATCTTCCCCGAAAAACAGCCAAAAAGGAAATGGGGAGCCTCCGCGTACTAGTACACAATTTCTGCAGTTTTTCGCGCTCATCATTGTCGCCAGCGTGTTTACGAACTGGATATTTTCTTCGTTCTTGGCTTGCAATACATGTACCAAAGGTACTACCATGGTACCTGGTATGTGGATTAAAACCCGAATAATTGGGATGGATTTTAGGTCGTATTACTAAATTTTGTGCCTCATTCTGGCTGCCCCTGTCGGACTTTTGTCATTTGGCAAGATTACAGAAATGTGTCGAAGGCCAAGAGAATTCTAACTCCCATCCAGCACGCAGTTCGCGCGTGAGGGTTCCAACAAAAGAGAACCTCCTGCTTGTCACTCAGTCGAAGCGAAATAAGCGAAAATATCTCGAAGCTTTTGCAGGCCCGACACCTCGCATGCCTGCCATCTCTTCTTCTGATACCGGTGCAGTCTCAAGAATATCCTACAACAGACAGTTTTCACGTTATAACAGCACAAATCCACAGCGTAAAACCTCGACCTTACCCGTACAAGACGACGTGATAGAGCTTCTCGCTTCGGAAGCTTCAACCGCTTGGACTCAGTTAAGATTTTCTGGTACTGGTACTCAATAATACCCCTAGAAATGCCATCCTCCTCGTCTAACTTGTTCACGTTGGAGTCATGTTCACAGCCAATCTCTTCTTGCCAAAACTCACTATCAGCATCAAGAGGTTCACCGCAGTTGCAATTCTTGACACAATGAGAGGGATCAAAGCGGAAGCCAAAATGAGAATACAGCAGCTCCTTTCGACAGCCTGTGGCCATTTCACAGAACGCAGCGACTTCTTCCAGTTCGCCACGAGAGCTCCCGTTGGATACTGCACCCTCGAAGTCACGTCCTTCAGTAGTTAAAGCGTCTGCACGGCCCTTGTCTGCTTCTGAATAGAGTAAAACACACACTGAGGGCTTTCCATCCCGACCAC